CACTGCCCAAACCCTTCTCACTCCTTCAGGGGTAAAGGGTGTTTTCTGAATGCATGAAGACGAGGAGAGGTGCTTTTGAGCCAAAAACTGCCTTGCGGTTTAGGCTGAGGCAGGATTTAGAAATGGCGTGAACAGTGCCCGCATTAGCCGATGGCATGTAGTGCTGAGCGCCAGCAGAGGAGATAAAATCAGACATATGTTTGGATATAAATGTTCTCTCTCTTCTTCTTCTTCTTCTTCTCTAATTTTAATCCCCTGCCGCTTTGTTGCAGTAAAATGTTAGGGCCTTAATTGTGGGCTCTTGCCCCCTGAGGTAGTAGTCTGGGCTGTGTAAGGCCCCCCTTAGCCCTGTCCTAGTCTCTGTCCATCTCCACAGAAGAAAGCCAGAACTCTCCACTGTCAATGGCCATGGACTCTGGACCTCTTCCCCACCAATAACAGGAATTGTTTTGCCAGGGACTCTTTACTACATTGTTCTACCCAGCACCCAGCAAGTTCTTGGCCTCAATACATGTTAAACAGCCCTGATAAAGCCAGTGTCTCTAGACCTTAGAAACTGTCCTGTCTACTCTCCCTTCTTTGATAATAAGATGCAGCGGAACACCGAAGAGCATTAAAAGGCCTGGAGCAGATTATGGGAGTGGCAGCCACAGCATGGCACTTACAGAGCTGGGGCTGGGGTAGGTACAGTGGAGGAGAGACGTTAAGGACCCCACCCCCACCACCCCCCGACAGTCTCATTGTTGAGCCAAATAAGCAGAAACCATTCCACTGTGGAGAACTTGCTCTGGTAGGTGCTTTAAGACCTCTGTCAATCCTCAACTCTGCAGAGCTTCCAAGGCTGAGGATGGGAGAAGGCCAAGCTACCTTTCCCTTTGTGAACACCCTGCCTGGTCTAACGTCACCCTTTCTCCAGCAGCCGTCTGCCACTGAACCTCCGAATCGGAAGCTGTTATGTACAGTCCTGAGGATCTAACCCCTTAGTGAGCACACGTGGCCCTTTGGCCAGCTGTGGGACCCCCTGTGGTCAGAATTCTGGTCAGACTTTGGGGGGCAGTACAGCCAGTTCTGAAGGAGATTGAGCACCCCAAAAAGGAGAAGAGAACACAGCAATATCTGGAGGAAGGTCCCATTTTTACTGCACGGTGGCAGGGAAAGAAATAGGTTCTTGATAGCCCAGAAGAGCCTGAGTGAAGAAGGCACATTTGACTTGGGAGTCCAGAGATCTTGGTTTCAGTCCCACCTCTTCCACTGACTAGCAGTGTGACCTTGGAGATATCTTTCAGTTTCTCTGGGGCTGTTTCCTTGACCATAAAATGTAAAAAGATTAGACTAAATGATCTTTCATGGCCCTTAGAAAATTCTTTAACTCCATATAATCAGCAGCAGTCTTTCCCTCTAATGTGTTGCTACACACTACTCCCCTGAAGAGCTACCAACCCATGTCCCATAGCTTGGCCGTCAGGCCTGAGGATGAGTCACCAACACAGCATGAAAGCCTGCACTTTCGATGCTCATGGGACTCCTCTCTGAAAAGCTGTCCCAGGTGCCTGCTACGAAGGAGGCAATACCCACCATTACGGCAATGGAGGTTTGCTGCTGTAAAAGCTGAAACGGTGCCCAGCTCAAAGAGTGGGCCCAGAGCAGAAAGGAACTACCCTTGCAGCCCTAAGGACACTTAAACCCAAGAACCAGATCTCAGTCTCCCCCACCTCCTTTCAGGTTTCTTCTGGAGAGCGCTTCTCCCTCAGATCCCAAGATGGCAACACACTCAGCCCCCAGGACAATGTTTGTTCTTAGGACTCTTCCCCGGGAATGTTTTGGGACCATTTCTGTACCCCTCCCCTCAGACCTCTGGTTCAGCCACAGACCCTTCATCATTCCAAAGCGACTGTACAATCCCTAACTATCCAAATAGCTGCCAAAAAAGGTTAGGAAACCTGGCCCCACATCCTCTGTTTCTGAAGCAGCCTCTTTGTCCACAGTTGCCTCTGAATGTGTACCCAGGAAGCTGTTCTGAACAGCCCGAGTTGTCTTGTGGTGCTGGGAAAGGGATAATTTCTTGCTTTTTCAGCTGGTCCTGGCCAAGTCCCACCCTTTACTCTGCTGCAGTTTTCTCGTGTTATCGGGGGTAGCTACGGCGGTAAAAGGAGAGCCAGAGGGAACGTGTATTTGGAGCCTGGAAATGTGAGTGACAGTTTCTAAAGGTGTGCCATGCATGCACGCATGCTACCACAAACACTGAGACCCAGAAAGGACACATATCTACCCAGGGGATTAAGAATTGGCCCTTTTCTTAGCCAACTGCTGCAAAGTGCTGCCTGCCTCTCTCCCCGTTCAGTGCCAGGGAGATCACACCCACTCAGTCCCGATTCCCTGCATTAGTATAAAAACGCTGAGGAGACGCAGGGTCCCGGTTCATGCAGCCTCTCTGGACGTCAGTACTCGGTAAGCATCAGGAGACAGACACCCACCACCACCGAGACATGTTTGACTATTCAACACCCAGAGAACAGAAGGAACACTGCCTGTGGGAAGTTTAAGCCAAACAGCATTATTGCAGACCTCTTAAATCCAGGTCCCCCAGGGTCTCTGGGTAGATAGAGCTGGTGCTGCCTGACCAGCAGCTTCTGCTGAGGTGGCATTTAACTTCTGGCCTGGTCCCAGGAGCTGAGGCTGACCCATTTCCCCTGCTTTTCCAGGGCATCAGGAATTTGGTTCTACCCCCAACAAAGCCAGGGACTAACACACTTAGCTTTTGGAAGGTGCACTAGAATTGGGGTGCTTTTTATTTAAGCTAAGGAAAGACTGTTGACAGCTTTAGCATTTTCCCATACTTGAAAGAAATTTAACATTGTCTTCCCCTCCCACCTTACGTCTCCCCTCCCTTTGCCTTTTTTTCTTTAAATAGAAATGACTTGGTTAATGCTTATAAGGATCTATAGGACCTTATTCAATTTAACCCTTTGGGGACATTGGATTAAAAATTGAACAATATTTATTAAAATACAAAAATACACTTTTCTCACATTACAATCAGTGTTCTTTTGTTGGCATTCCCCCC